TGAGCCATCTTGTTGGTCCCCCATCTCTGATCATTCTTAAGGAGTTGCTACTTTCTTTGTCCTCTCTTTTCTTTCCTTCATGAGGTACAAATGTTTCATTTCACTTTTAAGAGTAATTTCAAGTATTATATATATGCATACATATATGTATAACATACACATATATGAGTAATCATCTGTAGTTATATAACAAACATGAATGAATTTATCATCTGTTTCTCTAATTTTCTCTCTTTTTTCTTTTGCTCTGCAATAATGGGTATTGAACACAGGGCCTCACACAGGGTAGGCAAGCAATATACTACTGAACTGTATCTTTTTACTTTTGAGAAAAAGTCTCATTAAATTACCCACGCTGGCTATAAAGTCCCTCTGTAGTTCAGGTAGGCTTGAAGTTGGTGATTTTCCTGCTTCAACATCCTTGTGAGTATCTGGACCTACAGATCTGCCTCACCAGGCTGCAAATTTGAACATATTTACTTCAAACTTTTATGTGGTGTGTGCAGGCATGTGTGTGTCCGTGTGTGTGTGTGTGTGTGTGTGTGTGTGTGTGTGTGTCTATGTCCAGGTGCACGTGTGTGGGGGTATGAATCCATGTATACGTGCATGTGTATAGAGCCCAGATGACAACCTCAGGTGTTGTGCCTAAAGTATTGTCACCTTTTTCACTTTGAGACTGGGTCTCTGTGACTGGCCTGGAACTCTCCGACTATGTCAGGCTGTATAGTCAATGAGCCCTAGGTACTCACCTGTGTCTGCTTCCCTATCTCTGAGATTACAAGTGTCAGTACCATGCCTGGTTCTAGGGATCAAACTCAGGTCTTTATGTTTATGAGGAAAGCACTTTACTGACCAAGACAACTTCTCAGACCTTAAGAAGTTTTTTTTTCTTTTGGTCTTTTTGAGACAGGGTCTCTCCGTAGCCACAGCTATCCTGGAACTATGTAGACCAGGCTGGCCTTGAACTCACAGAAATCTGCCTGTCTCTGCCTCCCGAGTGCTGGGATTAAAGGTGTGCACCACCACACCCAGCTAAATTAAGAATTTTGAAAACAAAGACACTAAACATTGCTGTAGTTACCTTCCCTGATGTTTGCTCCCATCCTCCACTCCCAAAGTAAGCAAAACTCTGAAGTTCCCTAATATCATTTGTATCTTCTCTGAGCCAGTACCTCTACCCATATGTATGAATCTCTCAACAGTATAAATTAGCATTCTTTGTGTTTTAAAAATCTGCATAGTTGGGCTGGAGAGATGGCTCAGCGGTTAAGAACGCTGACTGTTCTATCCTGCTTCTTGTTCATACAACATTATATTTTTTTTCAGACTTACCCGTTTTGATTCATATAAGCCAGCCCTTTTACTTTTAATGTTGTGTGAATAAACACAGTTTATCTATTCTTCTACTGAGCAATGTTTAGGTTATTGGCACTTTTTCTTTATTATATAAATTGTAGCACTGAGCCCTGAATGTGTCCTTGGGCACATGGTAAGAGGAGCTCTAGGCTGAACACGAAGTGGAATTGCTCCACAGATGGCACATACATCTTCAAGTGCCCCGAGTGTTGCTGGACTGTTATCCAAAGAGGAGTTTCCAACTGCCTTTCCATTTGAACAGTAAAGGCTTTATTTTGCTTCATCCTTAACAATATTTGGCATTATCAAACTTTAAAAATGTACAAATCTAATGAATATCAAATTTGACTTTTTCTTTTTAAATTTGCCTGGTTTTGTTCACTAGCAAGACTGCCTTTCTTTTTTTGCATTTATTGACTCTTTGGTTTTCTGTCACTTGGTTATTTGTATTCATATTGTCTCATGTTATTTGTTTTTATCTTATTGATTCAAGATCTAGTTATCTCTTATATGGGCTATTAATTTTATTCATAGATTCTATTATGCATTTTGTTTTAGAATGGTTCTTTTTGGGTGTAGGAATTTTCTTTTTGTTGTTTTTGTAATGATTCTCCTTATTCTTAATGCTTTTTACCTTAAAAATGATTTCATCTGATATCCAAAGAGCATACCACCTTCCTTCTTGGCTGCTGGGGGCTATCTTTTTGACACGACTTTATTACCATCTTGTGTCCATGTGTTTTAAATATTTCATTTAAAATATATTTTTAAAATAAAT